TGTTGGTTCGGTAAATAAATCTTCACACTCACTTAGGAGTTTTTCAGTCGAAAGAGGATAGGAAGTAGAAGATTCACCCGCTTTCTTTACTAGAACCATTATTACTTCCTGTTCCAACTTTTTCTTTCAAACCATTGATCGGAATGCTGGATAACTCATACAACAAAAATACAGACTAGAGTCAGAGCCAGACTTATGGTACAGTTTGATAGGTTTCAATTCAGAGTGTGCATCTCGTAATTGCACAATCTTCTCTGTGAAATTGATATCTGGGTTGGCTTCCTTGTGCCAGTCTATTCTCATAATCAAATAAAAAGGTAACTTCTTTTCTACAAGAAAGGAAACCTCGTGAACAATCTTTTTTCCTTTCTTAGTACGGAATCGACACTTCACACGATCAATATATTGCGAGACAGTGATCATGCTTTTGTCAGCTAGGATAGACGTGATTGGTCGAGACAGATTCTTTACCTTCATTCCGAGATGCAACTTGCGGATTGCTTTCTCGGATATGTAGGATCGCATTGATCCTGAGTCCAATAGTGCACCTGCGCGGGTATACGCAATCTCTACGTCTACGAGTAGTAGGTCACCCTTAGACTTCGATTTCTTAGCCCACGAGCTTCGTAATGCCAACAACTCGTTACCAAGCTCGTCAAGAGAGTCGTCCAGAGAGACAGTGCATAAAACAGGTTCAGGATGTTCTGGACGATGGGCCGAAGAAGAACCATCCTCTGCCACGCGAGTCAAAAGGTTGGAAGGGATCGTACGCGCCTTACCTTCTTCTTTGTCCAAACCTTTTAACTCAGTAGGAGCAGATGATGCTACTACGGGCCGTTCGCTTTTGGGTTCTGAATAAGTGGGCACCAGGCAATCACGTGCCCTGCGATACCACACTTTAGACATTGGGCATTGTTCATTCTTTCGTGCCACAATTCTTGTGTAGTTCCCATCTTCTCCCATGGCCTTCCGGCCGCAATTCCTGGATGCTCGGGAAACGAGCGTGGCTTCTTTTTCTTTCCTGGTGGTCGTGGTCCTCCCTTGTTGACCACGACAGCAGTGACTTTCCCCTTCCCAGAATCATTGTTGCTCGCCACACCCTCGACCTCCAATGGCCACTTCTCTACATTCGTCCACCCCATTGGTACCACCATCATTTGGACCAGCCCTAGAGGCGTATGCATGGCGGTCATGTGCCTGTCTAGGTAGTCCAAGGGGATCTCGTTATACCCAGAGAAGAGATCGTAGATCGAGTATATTGAGCGACATGCCGACCCTTCCGCTAGCAAGTCGGCCTCGGGTATAGATCCTACGTCCCTTATGGTGACCGCATTGGTCCTTTGGAGGTTTTGAATCCATCTCAGTTTGTTGCTACCCCCCTTTCTCAGAAAGAACCACTTATTGGAGTAGGCACTCTCACAAGGCTCAGCGACGAAAGTCCTTAGTTTTTCCTTGATAAAGACCACGATCTCCTCTTTCTCTTTTTGAGCATACTTCCACTAGGGCCTATCTTTCCAGGGTACGTGAGGAACCGTGTGGATTCGAGCTTAGCGTACCTCGGGTCGATCCTCCCTCTTTTCGAATCATCGAAAGCTATAGACTTATCGCAACCCCTCAAGGTCATAGCCACGTACTCTTTTTCTTCTTCCGTGAGGTTCCCATCCCCTATATCCATCTTGGTCAACCTATCGGCCGTAATCCTTTGTCCTTCCGTCTCCTTCCTTTTTGGGATGATTTCGGCTATCTCTTCTTCCGATATTGTAGCTTCCCCCGTTTTGTCCCGGCTAACCGCGGCGGGTTTCACTTTTTCCGCCACGATTTTGTGTTTCTTGACTCCGCCGGCTGGGGGAATTCCTCGAAAAAAGACAGACTCACACACCCTCCGAACTCTTCCTCCGCGTCCTTCTTCTCGTACCCTATCCCATTGATAACGACCCTACTCCCGACGTCCTCTATCTCCAATCGGAGGAGCGCCCCCTCTAGACGGACCTGGCATACCCTTGATTGGTTCCCCTTGCGTCTAGGAATATTGGTCCGGTAGCGCTCATCCTGAGCGTTTACGGTCTTCAGGACCACTCGGATTCCATCCGGACTTTGGATCGAGAGGGTCTGGCTCCCATCCGGCAGATCAACAGTGGTAGCGTCAACCGCGCTCAGTCAGGTTCTTCCGAGGATCAACTCGAAGGAACACTCCTTTACTGAAAAAATCGGGACCTTTGTCTCAACGCCCGCGACTTCTATCACGGGGCTATGACACACCCCTTCCGCCGGTTGAAACTTGTTATCTGCCACTACCATCGACATTGATACTCCTCGATCTATTTCCAAGCCTAGCTCCCGTGCCATGGAGTCCCTACACACCGTAGACTCGGACCCATTGTCTACTAGAGCCCTCATCTTCTTCCCGCTTACCACCGCCTGGAGCTGGCCGCTACCTAACACATATAATTTTTTGGTCTCTTCACCCGAGAAGAAATTGGCCGGCAGTTCCTCCATGGTAATGCGGGAGGACTGTACCTCCTCCTTGGCCGGACCATCCCCTGGCACCGTGGGTGCCCCTGCGAGCGGGACTCTTACCTTCCTCGTGATGATTAGGAGCTCTTTCCTGGCACTTTTGCTGGTGGCTAGGTACTCCAAAAGAGTGCACTGCATAGGCTGCATCAAGGTCCTCCTAAGGGGGGCTACTGTGTCTATTTCATCCAAGGTGCATTTCATTTCGAACTTCTTAGGCCCCTTCTTCCTAGGTGATTTGGGTGAAGCGGGCTTCTCCTTCTTTTCTTCTGCAACCTTGGCATCGACCATCGGTTGGTCGTTATCGCCGCTCTTTCCTCCCGCATCCACCGTCACGCTCTCTTGGCTCCTAGACGTCTCGGCCCCAACCTGTGTTCTCACCCTTAGGCAAGGCCTCTCTTCTTCAGGCTGGGTCTCTATGAACTTGATGCTGGACACCTGGCGTTCCCTAATGGACACACCTCCAGGCGTTTCCGTCATTTGGATATGCGATGAGTTGGAGGTGATTCCTGCATCCGGTTTCTTTCCCAGCTTGGCCTCCTGAAGGGCTATTCTCTTGTCCACATTCACCTTCATTGAGGGGTAGAACGAGACCGCCTCTCCACTATCTCCCCACACAACCCATTTGTTTTCATTTAGCTTTACCACACCCAACCTCAAGGCCTCCGTAAGATAAGGACAATCCCTTTTGATGTGACTTTCTTCATTGCAATAAACATACCCGCTTCGAGCTTGCGGGTTGTTGGGACGTGGACCCCCTTGTGTTGCAGCAGCTACAGGTGCAGGAGCAGCCGGCGCTGGCGGCGCTGGCGGTGGTGGAGCCCTAATCTCTGGTCGTGGCCAGAAGTCCTTGCTTGAGGCGCATCTCCCCACCTACCGTCCCTAGCGTCCTTCCAATGGGAACTCCCCCAATCGGGGCTACGGTTCCCCCCTACCTCTCGGTCATTCCTCCAGCCTCCCTGGTTTCCTGACTCGTTTCTCCATCCCGCCCGCCGATCTCCCCACCGGGGACCGGGCGGATCAAGTGGACCCGGGGGTGGTCTATCATTCCCCCTAAGGTCGTCATTCCTCGTGCCACGCATACTGCGGAGTGCCATGTCCAGGGTCTCTTTCATGTACTCTCTCACGTCCACCCCTCCCCCTGTAAAAACCACCTCTGCGACCTTCTCGAAGTTGGCTGAATCCCGCGGGRCCTTTTCAAGGACCTCTTTYCTCTTCTCCTYGGGTARGTGYAACATAMACATTAYGCACCTATCCACCTCCGACAGCATCCCCCTATCCACTAGGGCTTGGGACAGCCGCTTGAACCTACGGGTGAAGGCCACTAAGCTCTCCCGTTCCCCTCTTGTAACACGCCACAAACCTTCCACGGTAGGGATCAAATCATCACAGGCGAAAGTCCGCAACATGCTTGTTTTGAAGGTCCTCCATCGCCCATCTGCGGGGTAGATAGCCCTAATCGCGGGATCTAACTCTTGGTCAGAGTGTTGGATGAAATGGTCTATCCACTCTTTTTCGGAGAATCTCTTTCGGTAAGCATAACTTTCCCATTTCTCTACGAATCCCGTCACGTCCCGCCCATCGAACAAAAGCGCCTCCAGACCCAGGTTGATGTCGTAGTAGGGGACTCGTCGGTCGTCGTATCCACGAAAATAGGGTCCCTCCATTGGCCCAAAATCGTCGGGTCGTATGGCTTGTACCAAGAGGGATCAGGCTCCTCCGTCCGTGGCCGGGGTCTCGGGAGCCCCCATGGATCTTCCCCGTAGCGGCTCCTCTCATTCGGCCACTCAATCTCCCACAGAGCGTGGTCCTGTCCCCTAAAGCCTCTCCGAGCATCCACCCCCGACCTCTACCCGTTACCTCTCTGGGAGCCCATGCAGCATCCGATTCCCTTTCGGCCCACCTTCGTGGCCTACTACCAGCCTCCGCCGACCTCTCGTCTCTAAGGTCCCTTCAACTCGGTCCCCCTTCCTCTTCCCTCCTAGGTGGCCGGTACCCTACCCTATCTCTCGAAAATTCTAAGGCCTCTCCCATTCTTGCGTCCGGTAAATCTGCCCACCGAGACTCTATAGGGAGGCCCCTCGAGCCCTCAACCGCCCCTTCTCTCGCTGGCATTCGCATTTCCGCGCCAACTCTTTGTCCTACCAAAGCCTGCCTCTCACCGGTGACGGTCTCCGAGACCCTTTCGACCCATCTCCACGGCCAGCCGCCGGCCTCTGCTGACCTCCCTTCTCTTAAGTCCCTCCTATCCTGACACTCTTCTTCCTCTCCCCTAGGTGGTCGATACCCCGGCCTATCTCTAGGAAAGTCCGGCGCTGCCCCTATCCTCGCCTCCGTGTCCACTAGGTCCGGCCATTGGGACTCTACTGGAACGCCTCTTGCGGCTTCGGCGATCCCTTCGTTTCCCGACACCCACGGCCCCACATCCCTGTGCACTCGCACTTCCGTGCTAGCTCTTTGCCCCTCCGAGGCCTATCTTTCTCCTGAAACCGTTTCCGGGCCCCTCTCGGCCCTATCCACCGTCTTTGTTCCCTCAGTCATTTCTTCCACCACCCTACTCAGCCTAGCTCCCAACTCGGGGCTCTTTACTACCCCCCTTCTCTCAGCGGTTTCCGACGGACAAGAGAGACCAGCTTCCACTTCACTCTCCATGCACCCTATCGGTAACTTCTAGTTGTCTCCCTCACTATCGTCTGTGCTATCTTCCGAGTCGTCTTCTTCTTCCGAGCCCTCCTTCTCCTTACTCGATTCCTCGCTAACACTATCTGCCTCCGACTCCTCGCTGGTCACCGTCCACCAAGAGTCTCTCACTCGTTTTTCTTCGCAGGCGCCAAGGCTAAGTTGGCTATTTCTATGTCGGAGATCCCCCTTATCCCTTCCTCAGAGCACCTCCTAATCAGGGCCCTATCAACTTCTTCGGGTTCTCCTCGAAGCAGGGGTTTGATGAATCCTCCCACGAGTGCCCACCACTCAAAGTCAGTGTCTTCCCGCGATTCCCAACACTGGGTGAACAGCTCGTGCCCCCCTTCTTCTCCTAACGGGAATTTTTCAATCACTTGTCCACTAGTTCAGACCTTCCTTACGGTCGCGTCGTCTGCGTAGAGTAGCCGATAAGCCCAGGTTGGGATCTCCCAAGTCCTCCCGTGAGCCGCCCTTGGAAGTTCCGACCTCCCTCGGTATTCTACCCTATCAATCAGGCGCTTCCCGACAGTACCTCCTCTCAATCTCCTCAATCGGTCCAAGGCCTTTCGGGCGATGCCTAGGGGATCCTTTCCCTCTGCCAATTCAGTCGCAAAGATTAGTCGGTCGTCGGGGGACAAAAAGATCTCTGCCTTTCTAGTGCAGCTGCCTCCCTCGGATGTCACTGAGAACCTGACCACCGTCTCTTGCCCGTAGATTTCGAAGAACTAAGTACACACCACACCTTCCCCTCTAACCTTAGGGAGGGTTACTCCATACCTCTCTCCCGTTTTCCAACCCTTTCCAAGGTACCAAAAGGGTCCCCCCTGTCATATCTAATCATAGGAAGCCTCACCTCACGTCGGCCAACCTTGCGGCGGCCTCTACCAGCGAGTCCTCGCACCTAGCGCGACCGACCTCTCCTTCCTCACGCAACTTCTGACGCAAAGCCTCTTCGTACTCTCCCGTCCTATACCAAAATCGGGTCTCCACAAGGTGTGTCCTAGATGTCAGGGGGGTTCCTAGATACCTAGAGTCTTCTTCAAACCTCCTCTCTACTTCCAACAAAGGTTCCCTTCAATCCCTTGAGGACCTCACTCCACTTGCGTCTCTAATATGGACCGAAAAGCTAGCTAGCGTGGTCCAGCTCCTTCTTTTCCACAAGGCCAGCCGTCGGACCTCCACTAGAAATTCCTTCTCGGCGCGGACCACTCGGTCCTCTCCCAACTCCGGGTTAAGCTCCGCACTTCCCTCGACCCTAACTTCGCTACCATCCTCGTAGGTCTCCAACTCCCAACGAATCCTATTGGAGACGAGCGAAGCTCTCATCCCCTCACCGCGCAAGAAGATCTATCGTTACTTCGTCGAGGATAGCGATTGTCGCTGTCTCAAGTAGCTTGATCCTAGCTAAGGACCCAGGCCTAGCCCTCCTTTCTTCCTCCCAGCATAGCGCGAGGACCCGGTGAACTTCTTCTCTTACCCTTTCTAACCCCTCAAGTCCGTCCACGTCAAGCTCGCTCATCCTCTAGCTTCCATCGGCGACAGGCAATCGCGATTCGAATGAGGGTCGAGGGGTCTAACCCCTCTAATTCCCCTTCGCAGAGCTTCCCTAAGTACCTCCTCGATATCTTAGACTCCCTTGCATGTCGGCCCCACCCTTCAAAGGCGTACCCCAGGTCCTCTAGAGTCGACCAATCGTCTCTATAGGGATCCCGAAAACACCACGTTAGCAAGGTGTGTAGGTCCGACCCTGTGAACCGAAACTGGCCTAGAATCGACACCCTCCTTCCTATCGCCCTTATGACGTCTTCGGAGGGGTAGATCGTTCGAAGATGAAACGAGGAACCCCCACTAGCTCACAGGAGGTGAATAGTGGGATCTCCTCCCACCCTTCGTAGATCACTCGGTACTCTACTATCCCCTCTTCATGAGGCCTCACGTCCCTCACGAGTTCCTCTAGCTGGTCCCTTACGGCTCCGGAGTCCCAGAGAGGGTCTTTCCGCGCCTGTAGGCTGCGTGTTATCTCTATATACCCCTCCTTTGAGAGGAATATTTGGGCCTCGCCGATCACTATTCCTCCCTCACTACTTACTGCGAATTGTACGAACGCCTTTCCACGTCGGATCCCCCCTTCTTCCTTTAAGAGGGTGCTTGCCTTCCCTCCCAACCTGGCTCTAGGTAGGGTGACTTGGACCACTTCCCCGGTGTCTTCTACGCGTGCTATCAAGGCCCAAAGAGATCCTGGGACCCTCCTTATCATCGGCCCTCGAAGCCCCTTCGGTTGGCTACTTGCTCTTCCCCGAATAGTCGGGCGTACGGGACGTCAGCCACGTGTGCCCGAATTCCTTCAACTTCTCTAAGCCTTTCGAATATAGCCGATAACTCCTCTCTCGAGGGAACCCCTGTGTCCACGCACCGCGTGTAGAGCCAGTACAAACCCCTAACGCGCACCCCGGACTCCCGAGCCGCTCTAAGTAATTCTACTACTCGCTCCTCCGGGTCTCTCAAATATGAGTCCGTCAAGAATTTGGGAAAGTTCGCGTGAAGGACTCCTAACGCGCGAGGGACCTCACCGGGCTCGGCGAAGGACACTAGTGTCCACGACTCGAAAGTCCCTTCCTCGTAGTCAGCTAACACTAGATTGTCTGCCACCAGCCTCGCGGATTCTCGGTACTCAAAATGCGTTAGTYGCCCGGTTACCAAGCCCCTCCAAACTTCGGTCCACGCCTCTTCGTTGAGGAAGATTGTAGACCGGATCTCTAGGAAAAAACCGAGGTCGGGTGGGCCTCCTCTTTCCACACCTTCCTTCCAAGTGAGTCTTCGAGCTCGAACCCACACGTAGGCCCCTTCTCTGATCACTCCCCCTTTCTCAACGCTCATCCAGTAAGGGGTCACTCGAGGGTCCCCCGGGATCAAGACTTTACCCGTGTCACTGGCCTCTATCGACTCTACCGCTCCATTCTCATTAAGCACGAATCTCACCATCTACCGACGCTGTTTCGAAAACGCACCGGTGGTATCTCTCTGGTGAGAGAGTGAAGGGTTTCTCTAGAGACCCCAATCTCCTAAAAATGCCCCAAAGCTTCCTGCGTGGAGGGATACCCCGATCGATGCAGTGCGTATACAGCGTCCACAGGGCCTAGAAGGGTAATCCCAGACTCCTTCCCCTCTCCAGAAGCCTCACTATCTTTCCTTCGTCAGTCCCTTGGAACAGGAAAGACGGCACCCTCACAGTTAACGGATAACACGCCCTCGGAAGCTCTTTCTCTCATGCAAACTTCTCCTTCTTTATAGTCGTAAACGCAAATCGCTCCCGAACCCTATTTATCCACTCCTCTCTTATTTCCCTCGCTTCTCGTAACAACCTATCCAGCCCACCCCCTTCTCCCAAGACCAGGGGCACTATGACCTTCGCCCAAGCCTCGGGGGCTACGAAGATAACCGCAGTCACCTTGAGACACTTCTCAACCCCCCGGCCCTCAACCTCTTTGGACTCTATCCACACGAACTCCCCGTTCACGGTGGCCTTACCTCCTTCTATCCTTTCCCAATCGGGAACCTTCCTGTTGCTGGGGATCAATCTAAGGGTCTCACTGCCTTCCAAGGAGGACTCGACAAAGCGTTCCTGTTCCCAATCGTGGAACACCATTCATTTAAAACCTTCTCTGAGGTACCCCGAAGACCCTTTGGTAACCGTAATCTCGCCCGCCCTCGTGGTCCCGAACCGATTCCCTAAAGATCCCCGCGCGAATCCTACAGGCTTTAATCCCGTATGGTACAGGGTTATCCACGCAGCAGGTGTAGTACCAATGGAGCGACCTAACGGAGAGCTGCCACCCCCTCTCTCGCACTATGGACCGCACAACCCTCTCGTACCGCTCCTCCTTCCCGCTCACCCTTTGGAAAACGAACGACGGGAATATGGCTCTGATGCACCCTGTGGCGTGAGGGTACTCCTCGTCTCGCGAGCAGGTCACCCATACCTCAACTGGTGGGCAGTGCCTAAGGGGCTCCGCCTCAAAAATATGTCTCGAAATCGGACCC